GTCCAGGTGGCCCTCGCATCGGCATTGTTTCTAGGGCTCGTTCAATGTTGAGCTTGTCTAGGAGATGCAAAGACGCAATAACGTGGGAACAGACCCATCCAGAGTGCTTATAGCTCTTGCATGTGCAGCTCATAGCTTTGCGAACAGATACAATCTGCCGAGATCGTGTTAGATTTAGTGTGATCGTTATAACAATGAATGAAATTGTACTTACTTTCGGGGATCTCCACATCGACTGCAGCGGTAGATCTCCCATTTGAGCCAGGTGATGTTCATGTAGCGTAACTTGATACAAGGACAAGAAAGTAAACTGGATATCGAGAATAGGGACTTCGCCACCCAGCCCACCTCGTAAGGATCGCTGAAATTTATCGTATAAAAAGCAACAAGTCATAAGAAAAAGGACATACATAATGTAGTTTATAGAAGTAAATACCGCTGGGTTCGCGCTGCTGTCACGGGCGACCCAGCCATATACTTTGGTTACACCATCGATTTGGTGCTGTTGAAAACTTTCCGCGCGGGCCGTTGGGTGGGCTTTGTTGTAACTATCCGGTGGTTCTGAGGGTCAATTAGAAAGTCTTTGGCCTTCATGACAGCTTTAAGCGGCAAAGGACCTGGACAAAGTAATAAACTGAGTAAAATTAGCAAATCCAAAGCAAATATGGTAACGGCACCTTCAGCGCAATGGCCTTGGTTTCCCGACGACAAGTTGGTAGCGTCGTACAGTAAAACTCGGGGAAGTACAGAGTTGAGTACGGGTATTGTTGGTGTCTTTTTGTAGTCGGTGACAATGACCTTGATCACTCGATGATGGCTCTCTATAAGTTGTTGGGTAGGCAGAAAACCTGGTACAGAAGAGCTTCCTACGCTCCAACGCTCCAACGCTCCCAACGTGGCTTCAAGTACACCGATTCTAACCAATCGGCTAAAGGACCTTCGGTTTTCTCGCGCCAGGCTTCAAGAATTGGTTTTGCCAAAGCCCGAAATTGTTTTTGTGATCTGGCAGCGTGACGTAGACGAAGATGGAGTTGTACCCATTCTTTTATAAACGTGTTTTCGTTTGCCAGTTTGGATTTCTTTCTTGACTGTCGTAACAGATGTGAGTATCTCGATCTGTCGCCACACCGGGACTAAATCAGACGCAATGCCATCGGCGTGGTCAATGCTTGCACTTAGAATACTGACGTAAATATCGTAGAACACTCGAGCGTACTTAACTAAGCTTCTGAACAACTGCTTGTAAGCAAGCTCGCTCTCGGTATGAACGAACATATACAACCAGGGTCGAAATCGGCGTACGAACCCAGTATCCGTGGACTCACCGGAAATGCCCCCACAATCGACAAGTGTCCACCCGCCAAAATGAAACTTGTAAGTCCCGTCTGTTGACATTACGAGGGTGGATCCTTGA